TTCCGACACAAACTAGCTGGCATTTGCAACCATATCACGTTTCATAAAGAGGTTTTTCAAGAGTAATATTTACCTTCGCCATAAACAAACCTGGCTTGTTGCCGCGAATTTGCATACAAATTATTATAAATTATTTGCTTTTGGTGGTGACTCCGAATTGAATGGAGGAAACCGAACCTAAATAATTGTAAAATGTATTGAAATCTAGTACGGTATATAAGCTTGGCAAATAAGCTACTTCGCTATCCAAACGTTTAAACTTGCGACAAGAGACAGCCAAGGTGAAGAACGCAGTTTCTTAATAACGTGTCATTCAAATTTCGACATGTTGGAAATACCACTATTGAAAGCAATAAAAGAGCAGCGAAGCTGGACATTTCTCTATTCAAATATCTCCTAAAAATTTCGACATATCGCCGCAAACCGTTAACCGCACTCAGACATCGCGTTATGTTGTGCGTTCCGCGCTAAAACCACTCGAGCGAAACGAGAAAACATTGGATGGGCGTTTGAGACAAACGTTATTTTGCGTGAAGGCTTGTTAAACAATTAAATTGGAACTTCCCCAGCTGATCTAAAAATGTTCCCTTCCAGAGCTGAATTCTGAATGAAAATAAAAAGAAGGTTATGAAAAAATAATGATCCGAATGCCTAAGTTGTGTGAATTTGTGACCAAATGGAAACTGTCTGTACATCGCGAAAATCCCCGCTCGTTCGCTAAAATTGTAAGCGTCTTAAATTTTGTCGAAAATAAAATATACCCCGTATCGAGTTTTAGTTTTGACCAATTCTCGATGGGTTATCTTTCGTCGATTTTGAATATCCTTACCTCAGCTTATCTCTTTAAAATTCCCATGTTCCAGTATTGAGTTACAATTTCTCTCTGTCGCAAAATCATTTAAAGTACCGTTCAAGATTATGGTCCTTAATTTTACAGTAAAAGCATGAATGAGAATGTGGTTGCGCCTAAAATATTGATGACGGGTCCGTGTATTGTTTAAAATGACCTGCGTATTTTTGAGCGAATCAGCGACCGAGTTTTCGACAGACCTTCAGCTGAGTCAACCCTGTCTTGAAGTGGATGCCGGGAAAGAAAATTCGCATTCGTCATTTTGACCTCCCGTTTGTCACGTATCTGAATATTTTCGTGCATTTGAATTTCTCCTGCTATGAAAGCGTTACATCAAATCACGCCATGAAGAATCCGTTTAGCTTGTGATCATGGTAACAGGGCTTCAATAAATGACTCTAAGACTAGAATTTTTATTTCCACGTAGTAAAGTGGTTGGGAAATTTTTCACCGAAATAGCGAGGAAAATTGTTTTGCAGAACGCGCGTAGCTTAGTAACAATGATGTCAGCTTCTTTCAAAATCTTAAAAATGATTTTTGAGCTGATGGAATTAGGGATCTTTTTAATTAGTTTGAGTTAAAACAAACAACAAACAAACGTAATGTCAAGTAGAAATACTTTCTCTTTTCCTAGTGAGAATATAAGAATTTGTAGACTAGTTACGTAATTAAATTCAGTCGACTTTCAATTGTGTAAATTAATTAAGGAACTAACATGGCAATCGCCTGAGGGCAACTTTATCTTCTTGATGTCTAAGATTTTTAAGAAACAAACAACTCTGTCTACTTTTTAAAATTGTAAAAACGTGCACGAAAAACCAAGATTTAAAGGGCTTTGAAATAAACGTATGAAATCCGTAACTCACTTCTACCTAACGACAGCCAAGTTTGTGTCAATTTGTATTTCGGCACGAATCACGGCAATAATTTGCACAAATCCACCTGCTATATTTACTATAAGGAAGAAAAGATAAAATTTGTCGCCACGTTTCGATTGAATCGGTGACAATTTTACATGTCGGTAAAGGACTCATTTTTGGGGGCTAATTTTGTTTACACCTTTGCACATTTGTATTCAGACGGTGTTCCATCAATGAAACAGGAAGTTTCTTTGTAACTCTATATAAGTAAGAATACATAATACATTGTTAATCCATTCTCTTCCTGGTGATCAAACATAAACGAAATTCTCGTAAACTCGTCGATTTCGAGCGAAATGACTGTTTGGAATTTGTGCGCAATAAACGTCGTCCACTTGTCTGCTGACATTCTCATTTAATTTTTTTATTTTGTTATTCATCTTTGGGGACAATGTCACAAAATTATCCAACCAGTATGAGCAAATTAACTCCATGTTCAAATGGGTAAGAATAAAGATTTAAACAAATCACTTTTTGCGATGCTATTTGTCTGTTTTCTACCTCAAAATAGAATCGATCTTATCAGGAATCTTTTTACAGTTATATTTTGAAAGTAGCAGGTCCACTTTAATTCACCTGTCAGACCAAGATTTCCCGTTAATTAATTTTTGCAAATAAAAATCCCTAATTTAATACGCTGGGCAAGCTTCAGTCTGGAACATAGCACACTTGGCTGGTGCAATTAAAAGCGAATAAATAAATGCGGGGAGGGGAAAGTTAATTCGTCTTCAAACCCCTTCCCTTTCCCCCTCCCTCCGGTTATCCCTTTGTGCACCATACACGTTGGCTTTTTCAAGCGTGACGCTCACGTCACGTTACCACGCGAGTCGTCACGAGTCACGTCCGATGACAGACACAAACCTTCCTTGGCCGTGTATTTTGAACCTGGAAGTTAGAATGTCTATCTGCCCTATAGCCGATTGAAACTAAATTTATCTACGTTTCAAGGCCTATATTAGCTGATCACTAATCCATCCGCCGATTTAAGGCGAGTTCTTAGTGAATGGCTTGTACAAGTCAAGGATTGCGCGGTTTGAAATAATCATTGGCGTAAAGTTCTGCCTGATCGCATCTTCCGAATGAATCAATTTTCATACTCAACGTAAACAGTCTAAGCTTCAAAAAAATACAAATTAAATGAAGCAAGTTGAAAAGCAGAAATAACTGGAGGAACTTTTACCTTATTTGTAGGCTTTGATCACGTCCTAAAGGCAAACAAATGAATAAAGTCCATCGTAACAAATTTGTAACTCGTCTGATCGGATTTCACAGTAAGTCTAGGTCTGATTCACGGAAATGACATAATCTTTATATGTCAAGGAAATTATTAACCAGATTTAAGTGTCTCGTAGCAATCCCGGAACACGATACTCGATAAAAACAGACTTCCTATCCGAGAAAAAAAAAAGGAAAGAAATAAAGAAAAAAATAAATCTCCTTCCCTGACTATTTCTCACGAAATTTTTTAAGAACCTAAACCTAACTGTTCCGTTCGATGTAGATTAAAGAATGAAGCTTTTTGGATTAACCTTTTAGCCCCTAAGAGTGACAAGCATCTAATTTCTCCTTACTATATCACCCCTGAATCAAACATGAAAGTCATGAGAAAAGAGAAGATGATCACCCACGAAAGCAGCTCTTGATTGTTAAACAAATTCTCCCTATCAACCTCTTTGGAAATTTGTGAAAACAGTGCGGAGAATATGCATACTGATTTTAGGATGTAAAAGGTTACTGTTGTTGATCGATGACAATGTGAGAATATGATTGGGGTTGTTTTTCTTGACTAATGTTGGCAATTATTGTAAATAACCAAAGAAAACAGAGCTTTTCATTAAACATTTATACAAAAGTAGGAGGAAATTTAGGCAGCAACTTTAAAAATTTTGGTTGTAATTTTTTTTCCTTTTGGAAATTTTTTAGCAACTTTTTTGCAATCCAGTGAGCGATGTTCCAGCATTTTACGAGCACAATCGGGAATCTAGGACATCGGTGATCCCCCCTCCCCACCCTGACCAAAGTGATTTGTCCCTCAAATAAAAGTTTAAATTTGTAAGCAAGCAAAAAAAAACCAAACAAACAAACAGAAGCTTCTAAATTTGCATCAAGAATACCCCAAAAGTAGTTGTTTACATTTTGTTTACAGATTACAGTTTGTTCGGTTCAGATCAGAATCCCGTGGCCAACTGGTTCGTTTCAGGAGTCTTCACTTCCAAGATCTCATTAGTAATTCTCCTTACTGTCTGCCATAATACTCTTATGATGAAAGCTCGGAGAATTTGGCATTGGCTCAACTAAATCCCCTGATTCCTTTTTTTTTTCTTCTCATTACTTGTCGGCATGATATTGTATTGATGCTATAGGGAGAAATTCTATCTTAATCATTCAAGGGAATTGAGGGGTTGAAGTGATACGGGTTAAAGATTAAAAAAAATAAAAATATAAAAGAAACCTGCGCGATATGTAGCTTGATTTAATTGATACGCGGAGAAGTTACAAGGCGTGGCCGAATACCTTAGGAAGAACCTCGCGCTGCTCAAATGGATTGTCTCACAATAACATCTAAAATAGTTAATCAAGGAAACAGCGAAATTTTTAAGATTACGGAGGTCAGCGTGGTCTTCTGAGAGTGGTTTGTAGTGCGTGTGGTCTGATTCTTGTCTAGAATCCATGGCGACTACGAAGAATGAAACGATGAAACCTAATGATGAAACGACTTTAAGTTCGTTTTTAAATAACTGATTTTCCATCCCGCGCCCGCGCGATCGGGAAGACCCGTGAATGAGTTCGGCATGGCCCACCGCGGCAAAAAGGCCTTTCAATTTTCAAACGACCACTAGTGTGACAGTGGTCCCGTGAAACTCTTGTAATCCTGATCATTTGCTTTTTCTGACACTGACAGCTTTCAAGAGGATCTTTTCCTGGAGCGACCAACTGCTGCTCAAGTTTCGGTGTAAATACTTTTCACTTCCAGTGGGCGTCTCCGTCGAAATAACATCTTTTGAACATAGATCCATGACCGACAAATTTACCTCTTATGGTATATGTTTCCGTTTGACATTTTAGACGATTGATCTTGACTGAAAGCATATAGAAAGTTGGTCGCATTCGAGAAAGAAGACCAAATATGGGTATTTTGGATATTCTTGGAAAAAAGCCTTCTGAATAAGCTAGCCTCGCTTTCGATAGGATGTGTTCATTAGAGAGACTGGGTCCGATTTAGTTCTGCTGTTTCCTTCCGGCACTCGTAAACCTCGGATCTGCGTGGATTTTGATCCCAAAACAAAGAGTTTCTTGATTCAAAATCCACCAAAAGAAGGAAAAATTCCTTCCGTGTAAAATTATCGTCGCCAGCTACCAAAATGATTTAGTAGCGTGTTCGTTTTAGCGCGCAAAAATGACGTCTAATGCCAAGAAAGGAAAGTCGGCTGTTCTGGAGTTTGGCACACAAACGAAAGGTAAGTGCTATGTTATCTGGCGTCAGCTTAAAACAACAGATCAAGGGGCGGTGAATTTATGAACAGTTGATGTAAAACATAGTTGTCGAGAGAATAACCGAGATATTTGCGAAACTGGTTTCCGGGGATGAGTTAATTTTGCGAGCAACGTTGATTGCGAGCGCCGATCCGTGGACGTTTTGCGAAGAGCCCGAGCCATCGAATTAGTTAAAGAGAGTCGAGTTATTTCATCGCGAGTAGACGGACTGCAAATATTGAGCAACTTTTGACTAATTATTTCGATTATTCTGGGGAGATTATCAAGCATTTTGTCATCAAAGTAAAGACCAGTTGCTAAAAAGTCTGCGCATCCCGCACGCTCTTTATTTTAAGATTGTATACGCTTAGAACTTTTCAAGAAGTGGTTTGGATGTAATCGGCCAAAATTGTTTGATCAATGGTTCACCTTATGATCTTCTAACAAGCAAACTCCTTCATCTGTTTGGCTTAATCAATAAATGTGTTTGGCTTCAAGGAAACCTTTTGGTTTTTACGCATTAACTTCACTTTTTGACTTTTTTAAAAAGTTAATATGTCGAGTTCATGTCCTAACTTTGTAGCGTTGTTCAATTTTCCGCAACATGTTTGCCAATGAAATCACCGTTTTATTTCAAGCAGATGAATGTTTTTCCTCGTGGTCGTAAACAAAAAAATACCTTGGTTTAAATTTGTCAATTTGAAAGTGTTTGGAACATTAAATATTTAAATCTCTTGAAATCGAAAACGAATGTGTGAAAATCATTGAGAGCTGGTATTCAAAATCTTGGAGATTCTGGTGTTTGTTCTAGTTTTCAAGAGACCGCAGGCATTCACAAATGACCTTATTAAGTATTCCTCGGACCTATCTTTACATCTTGGAAACTCGTTACTTTGAAAATTTTTCATCTTGTTCCCTCGTGGCTACTACTCAAGTTGTTGCTAGTTAAATGAACTAACTTTGACATATAATTATGTGCTCGTGATTCTGTAAGATGTAAGAGCGAACGGATTTCTACCGCAATGTAAACTAGCCATTTCACTTTACCCGTGGCAAACTTATTTAACATTTTCGAACAACTTAACTCCAATTACGTAGCAGGTGATGTATTAAACGCATTCATGTTTCGCAGCTGATGGAATGCACAACATTTCAGCCGTTTATTTCTTCTTTGAAGCTTATCAATCAAAAATATACCAGTTTGTATTTTGTCACGAAATACTTGACTGTAGTAAAATGCATCTTCACACCTTCAGCAATTATCTAAACGGCCGTATTTTTTGGTTAAAAAGTTGTCTGTAGCCACGTGAGTCATTTAATCGAATGTGCAATCACATGTTTTTGTTTACAGCGCACTGTACCTGGTTCTCCGTGATTCTGTTTCTGTCAAACGTTCTTAGATCATCGATTCCAAATGTTATTTTCTCGAGCAATAATTGTATGATATTTAGTTTCAGCTATGACCTTTCGTTTGACGAACAGATCAGAAGACAGGTTTTTTACAGTGCAATGGATAAAATTCCCGAACTGAAAACTCAGACATTTGCTAGCTTGTAGAATAACACAATTACACAATTACGTACAGTTGCTTAAGTTGTAATTTCCCACCGAAGCAATATTGGTATTTTTATATGTTAGTGTTGGTTGGTGTTCCAATATCCTTTGATCCACTATTTTGGCCAAACATGCTCTAACATCTGCATATATTTTTTTTTAAAAGCATTTTCTACTGAAATTTGATTATGGGACACAATTCCTAAAAGACTTCCCAAGAACTACACCATCTTTCATTGTTGTGAAGTCAAGTCAAATACTCTCCTACCAATTTATGTAAAAGTGCCTATTTGTGTTCCATTGTCTCTGACTGGAACCACTTCCTGTCTCACAAAATTCTTCCTTCATGATGCTATATATAACAAGGGTTTGAACAAAGATGTTGCACACTTAATCAGGATTTAAACATGATCACTTGCATTTTGTCATATTTCCTGAAATAATTCTTGATGTGGTAAAAGTAACAGACAATATTGTTTTGTATGAGTTATAATATGTATAACAGGAAGTTATCCTTTTTTTTTCTCCGACAATCACAACATAATATGATCTTTAGACTTCCTTCTCAAGCAGGATCTGCCTCTACAAGATATTAAATTTCTAAATTAAGCTGAAACTTTTGGCAATGAAACAACTTTTTGATTTTTACAGTTTTCTCAGAATTTTTTGGAAATTATGATCACCATTTAGAATGATTTGAATACTATATACACTCTAAATGTTACTTTGCTTGTAAAATTTGTACCTTGAAAATTAATTAGCTTAGGGTGGTAGCATTGGTTTAACTCTACATGTGAATTATGGCTGAAAGCTGAGTAACTTTCTTTCATTTTTGCATACAACATTTTACAAGTTACAGAGTTAGATACAATGGTTCAAATGTGTCAAAGTGATGATGGTTTTCACGTGCTCCTCAAATGCTTTTCATGTGCTTTTTGCCTGTCAAATTTCGCGCATGTACTGAATTTTCAAAGTAAATGTAAAAACTGTCTGTAGACTACCTAGAATTTACCATCACCTGCCGGATCATGATTTCGTAGACAGAGCCCTCTAGTTAACATCTGTAATGTATTAATCAACTACATTTCAATCACTGCTATGAGATCTAGAACGCCCACAACGAAGGCCGCTCTGACAGGCTACAAAACTTGCAAAATAGGTCTGCCAGACGCATAATGCATATCAGTAACTGGCGATACTCATGCGACAAGGCTGTCATTGCCTTAGGCTGGGAAACCATAGACATTCAACAAGCAAGGTCTTAAGCTAAAGAAATGTTTTAAGTGCTTTACAACTTGGCTCTAAATTGTCTCACTGATCTAATCTTAAAAAAAAGTGGCACTATTCAACACAATCTCAGGGGCTCTTCTACCTTCCTGCAGTCATTTGTTTCCTTTGTTTTTGGTATTCAAGTGCTTTTATTGTTTCTTATAAATTATTTCACAAATTAATACTTAACAAATTACAAAATGAAAACAATGAGAAAAGAAAAAAGTCATTGGAATAAGCACATTTGCTAAAATCAAGACAGGAAACCTGATGATTGAAGACAGAGAAAAAACAAATAAGAGACAACAATGGCCTTCACTTGGGTTTCCCATTATAACATGATGGCTGTCTTACTAAATAGTGTAACACAGTAACAAGTAGTGGCACTATGCTTTTTATATGTAAGTGATTCTGCCACTTTTTGCAAGCTTTTGGAGCATTCTCAAGTTAGACCAGAAACACCTCAGGATTACTAAAGTTCTTACAATCACTCTTTATCTTTTTACACTTGAATTTTTATCTTAAAATTTCTCTTCAATATTTTTACTAAGCATCGTCGGCTGTAAAAGAAAAAAATACTTAAGAGTTCTGGTGAAAGCCAAACACTTTTGTGGATCATTTTCATTGATTGTGTATGATCTGATGTGAAACACAAGCAGTGAAATTAACTTCATTTGGCTAATTGATTGCTATGTGGCATGCAAAGGATCTATTTAGACCCTTTGCGCACCCCATTTGGGACAAATCCAGTGTTTTTCCATTTACTCTATTAATCATACATCATTTCATATTTCTCTGGGCCAGAACTCTGCAGGAGCAAATACTAAGAATTAAGAGTACGTTTCAAATAGAACATTTTATAGCCAGAAAGAATAATAAACTTGAGATCCATTACAACAAATGGAAACCCCTCCTTCCACTGATAGAACAATAGCTGAACTAATTTATTATTTATATCAATACGCGATGCCTTTTTTTCTTTTCTTTTATTCTCGTAGTCCAGTGTAGTGGTATTTTCTTTGTGTAATAGAGTAGTGTAATGTAAATTTATGCATGTAGAAATTTGTGATGTATCTTGCGTACTTGTAAAAACTGTAAAAACCCAAAAACAAATAAAATACAAAAAAAAAGGAGCAAATACTACAAGTAATATGTTAAATTATGATAATCATAATAAATATAATCACACAAAATAGAACAATTGCTAAGATACGCCATGAGCTCTATGGGTTCAAGAAAAAATGTCATAAATGAAAACTAATGGTGTATGTAATATACATATATATATATTTATTTGAATATTATTTACTTTTACTCAGCTAGATTAGTTTTTCATTTATTCTGAGTGAATGTTACCTTTTTTTGTGTTAACACATTATGTGTATAAACTAAGTTTAACTTCTCAATTTGGTAATGATAAAGCTTGTAATATAAAAGTTTTTACCATTTTTAACTCACTTCCCAAAGACAGTTCACAGTAAGAATCTTTATCAATATTTAAAAAATCAAACTTACCTTCAAACCTGCTTATTATCTCAGATGTACCAAATTTGTAATTCTCCTTACTGTCAATCATACAATTCTTACAATGTTAGTTCAGAGAATTTAGTGTTGGGTCAACTAATTATCCCCAAATTGATAGTTTTCTTTATTCCCATCACTTGTCTGGTTGATATTGTATTGATGTTGTAAAGAGAAATTCTGTCTTGGTCATTTATGGGAGTTAAAGGCTTAATATTTTAACACACATTTTTTAGATTTTGAATCCTTGCAAATTATTTTAGATGTTGAAGTATGGACATAGTATCCACTGAATTAGACTTGTGTTTGATCTTACTCTGGTATTGCCTAACACTTTAACTCCCAGATCAAATTTGTAATTCTCCTTCCTGTTAACAGTACAATCCTTATAATGTTACTTCAGAGAATTTAGTATTGGATCAACTAATTATCCCCAAATTGATATTTTTCTCCATTCTCACCCTTATCTGGTTGATATTGTGTTGATATTGTAAGGAGAAATGCTGTCTTGGTCACTCATGGGAATTAAAGGGTTAACAAGTGTTTGTTTCTTTCCTATCATGTTTTCAATCGAGTTTAACATGAAATGAATGGAATTTTTATTTGTTTGTTGGGGGTGTTTGTAGCTTAGTAACCAGGCATTTTCAAGTAATCATGTTGATTGATGAAAATTTGTGGCATTGTTACCAGATGTTTTCACTGGTAAGCTGCACCCTTGATTTGTAAAGACAATTTGGAGAGAAAAGGTGTAGCTCATATGCCAATGTTCACAGTTTGTCTAGTTCCAATAAATTTTATTTATTAATCCAAGAACCCATTGGTTAACCAAGATGTTAATGTTATCTTTTGACAGAGATGCGCCAGATTGTTATTGAGCAGCTGAAATGCTTTGAGAACAGAACAGAGGGAAAACTGCTTTTTCTGGCAGATCTGCAGGAATTTTTCAGGAGGCTGTCAGAAATTGAGTTGGAATATTCTCGAAACCTAGATAGGCTTTCAAAAATGTATCTGGAAAAACTTCATAGGCATAAAACACAGAGGTAACATAAAACATTTCAACTACATTGTTATGTAGTTATTGAGTCACAAGGTGCACCATTTTTTACCAGTAAAATTTGTCCTCTCATGGAAAATTGGTGGTAAACTCAGTTTGTATCTTATAGCCACGTATTTTGGTGAAACTACTTTGATAAGGCCAATTTTTCCCAGTTATATTTTAAACAAAAGCAAGACAGTGATTGTTAGTTACCGTCTTTTGTAAGTTTGGTTGGATTTGAAAAGAACAGAGGTGGCTCTGAAAAGAACTGTGTGTCATAATTATAGCCAAGTGTTTGGAAGAAACTGATGCAAAAAGTTGAACTTTTATCTGGCCATTTTAAGTTTTCAAGGCAGTAACTGATAGATATGGACTTTCATAAGATGGTTTTTAAATGATCTGTGTGGCTCTGAAAAGAATTGGTGGGAAAAAAAAAGAACTGTCTTTGTTTTAATTGTGGCTCTCTGTTTTGAACTGGTAGTCCACCATGCTGTTGTAATTGACTAACAGAGTGTGGGATTTATTAATGCCCTTATTCACTATTTAACTTGTGTCACTAGGAGAGAGAAGGGAACCACGATGGATTTATGGCAACAAGTCCTCATTGAAACAAAGAACAAATCGAAGATGCATCAGGGTCTTGCCGACAATGTTTCCACTGACATTGTTAATAGATTCATGATTATAAGTGACGACTGTAAAAGAATATCCAAGCATGTAAGAGTTTATAATTATCTTAATCCTTTAACCCAAAGTGTGATTAGCACCCTATTTCTCCCAACAATATCACCCTTGAATCACACATTAAGGTCTTGAGAATATAGGAAATGATCATCAAATAAAGAAACTCCTCATTTCTATAAACAATTACTCCTTGACAGCACCATAGGAAATGTGAAGAGAACAGTATGGATATATGTACTGATGTTAGGGTGCATTGGGTGGTCAAGTGGAAAAACTGTTATGTTTTATTTCTAGATCTTTATGATGTCAACTCTTGTCCCCTAAAAGAGACTTGCATGTAATATCTCCTCACAGTATCACCCTTGAATCAAGTACAAAGATGATGAGAATTAAAGAAATGATCACCAACTCAAGAAACTCCTGATTTTCAAACAAATTCTCCTTGTCAGTGCTATGGGAAATATAAAGAGAACAGTGTGGAGAATATTAATATTAATATTAGTAATATTTTAAGTGAAAGTGAGATAGGCAACAAGCATGGAATATCTTTAATTTTGTAAGTTCTCCCTTTTTTTTTTTTTGTATTTTACAGTGTTGCGAGACAGCTTCAACTCTCCAGGAGGAACTACTCAAATCAGTGAACGATCTTAACAGGGTGAATACAAAATCTGAGTTGTTATTCTCAATGAAACTTTTATGATAAATTGTTCAGCCTTATACAAGTGTTCAAGATGAAAATTATTACTGAATTAGACTAGTGTAGTACAACAGGAACTGAATTTTTTCCAACCTATCAAAAAATGTTTTAGCCCCTTAACCCTTTAACTTCCAGTTCAAATTTGTCATCCTCCTTACTGTTGACCATGCAATTCTTATAATGTTGGTTCAGAGAATTTAGTATTGGATCAATTAATTATCCCTAAATTGATAATTTTCTTTATTCCATAACTTACCTGGTTGACACTGTATTGATATTGTAAGGAGAAATTCTGTCTTGGTCACTCATGGGAGTTAAACTCCCAGATGAGATCAACAGGTAACTTCTCCCTGTAGTATCCATACATTATTCAGCAAACTGGTAGTAAGAATACTCAAACTTATCAGGTATGAGATATTTTTAAATATTGATCCAACACCAAATTCTTGCAACAAATTTACAAGGGAATGTGTAGCAGCTAGAGAGGGAGAATTAACAATCCAATCTTGGCAGTTAAAGGGTTAAAGGGTTAAACTATAAGAGTGACCAGCATCTAATTTCTCCTCACAGTAATTACTACTGACCATTCATTAAGATCATGAGAATAATGGAAATGATTGCAAAGCTAAGAAGCTTTGATCGCTAAATAAATTCTCCTTAAAAGTACCAAGGGAAATGTCCAGAGAACTGTATTGAGAATATGGATATTGATGTAAGGGGTAAAGGGTTCATGGCAAACATTTTTGTTGTAGAGACTCCATCGCTATCATGCAATGGCTTTAGAGAGCAAAACAGCAGAGCAGAAACTTCAAAAGATGGAAGATTCACGAAGAAAGAATGAAAAAATGGCTAAGCAAGTTGAGAAGGTATGACCAGAGCAGTTTATAATCTTGCCAAAAAATATAATTACTCTGATACAGTCAAACCTCAGTTATCTGGACTTTTTGTAGATATTTTTATTACAGTGTATGAGGACTTGCTTTTGTGGTATTATTTGTTATAAACATTTATTTGTTCCATTTGCAAACTGTGACAACTTTTGCTATTAATTGAAGTACTTGTAAAGAAGCAGCCATCAGAACTCACAGAATTTGTTCTGCTTTCCATGAAACGTTGATGTTTAGATTTCTTAATTTCCAAACATACCTTTGACAGATATTTATGATGATGCACTCTGATTTGAGAACATGTGTTAATTCTTTGGTAATATTGATTTAAGGGTATGTACATGATTTCAATTTTATTTTAGGCTTCTTATTATTATTCATATTTTTTATTGTTGAGACTCTCAGTTATCGGGACTTTTTGGCCCAGCCCCATATGACTCCAGATAATTGAAGTTTGACTGTAATTTTTTTTCAAGATGATATAATATTGGTATTATAAAACAGTTAAAATAGTTAATGATTACATTGTTGATGACAATGACCATAAATGTTATTACTGTAGTGGCACATGTAAACATCATTTCATGTGTTGTTTTACCGGTCTTTAATAGCACCAACAAAAATGTACTGAATGCAAAAAGAGGTGTGTCAAAGCTAAGAATGAGTATGTCTTATCACTGGAGTCTACAAACCATTTCTTGGAGAATTATTACAATGGATTTCTCAAGACATTGGTTGATGTGAGTATGCTCTTTTTTCTTTTTCTTTTTCTTTTTTGTTTTTTTTTTTAGAACAAATGTCCACTGATCAATTTTGTTGTTTTTGTTGTCGTCTTGTGATAGGCAGAGTGTAACTTTACCTCTGATTGTGCCCCATACTGTTGGTTAAGTCTTTGAGGTCAAGGGACCCATTTTTTTTTGGTCAAAATTCTCAATAAAAATTATGATAAAGTTCCTCCTCAGGAAAAAGGAAACTTCTAAATGTGCCTCACCCCCAATATGTGGCTTTGTAGCTCAGTTGGTAGCAGTAGCAAACTTGTATCTGGGAGCCATGCATTTGAATCCCGTTGAAGCCTGAATTTTTTCCAGGCTTTTCTTTTGCAATTGCTAAAATTACAGCTTATCTACAAGGATCATAGCTTTACCAGGCCCTTTTTTTCTATTGAATCTATGATGGTATCTTTATCATGAAGTAGCAACAAATGCAAAGTATGGAGTATATTTAATACCCCTGGATAGGATGCAAGTCCATTACATGTTACAGGGTATATCTTCATTAATCAAAACTATAACAAAATTGTAGAATGTGATAGGTTATCACCAGTCTGATTAAAGCCCTAATAGGACAGTGTATGCATTGTGTTTGCAATTGGACAGTGTAATAGGACAGTTGGCATGTCATGCCTTTGTACATGGACAGTACACATCATGAAAGTGTGCTGTTGTTGGGCATTTCACTGAGTTAATTGTTTTGGTTTTTTTTTTTAAATGAAAACATGGAAAGGATGATTGCTTTCTCTTTAGAATTTTGTCATAAGTTTGATTCATAGGTGATTAACATGTAACTTTTCCCTGTAATATCCATCATCATTCAGCAATCAAGTAATGAAAATACTTAAACTTTTTGGGTAGAAATTATTATCTTGATCTAACACCAAATTGTCATCACTTATTTGTAAGCTAGAGGAGTGAATTTACAATCAGATCTTGGGAGTGAAAGGGTTAAATGGGTAACAAGATCTTAACCCTTTAACTCCCATGAGTGATCAAGACAGAATTTCTCCTTACAATATCAATACAATATCAAGCAGAGATGAGATGAGAATATAGTAAAATATCAATAAGGGGATGATTGGTTGATCCAATACTAAATTCTCAGAACTAACATCATATGAAGTGTATGGTAGACAGTGAGGAGAATTACTAATGAGATCTTGGGAGTTAAAGGGTTAAATTTTTGTATTTTGTTTTCCACTCAGACTTTTGACTACAATTACCACGACTCTTTCACTCGAGGAGTTGAGGCATATGTCACTTCAGAAGCAAATGTAGCAGCTTCCAGCAACCAGTCAGTAGATGTTGTGCGTGAAGCTAAGTTTACTGTGGAAGCAGCTAAAGATAAACAGTTCTTCTTTGATGACAACTCCGGTGCATTAGCTCTGCCATTCACATTTGCCTTCTTGCCGTTCAATGATGATGAGGTTGGTCTCTGTTCTTAGTCTGAATTTCAGAACTCCTATTCTGCTCTTTAGATAATGCTGCTTGTTGTGGTAGTCTTATTGTAGTAGTAGTCTTTATTTATTCTTGAAACATAAAAAGTGGTAAAAATAGTAAAAGATAAAACAATTATAAACTTGTAACACCACGTTGTGATTAAAAAATCGGATGATTGATGTTCACATCTTTTAAAGATGATTTGTTTCTGAAATTAAAATGTCATCATTTTCTTTTGAGATTAAATTTTAAAGAGGATGGAAATCAAATTTTGGCACTTAATTTAAAATGTTTTTGTCCTGGTTTCGTAGTAATGCATATGTGTAGTTCTAGTAGTCTTTGTTCAAATAAGCTTTGAACTCCCCTGTAATTGGGACTAGGGCATAATGTTTGGTAAGGAAATATAGAAAAAGAAAGATTTTGTTTTGTGTCTTGTCACAAGCATGGAACAAAGAAAAAATTATGAGTCCCAGAGGAGGGCATAGAGGGCATATTTACTACATGTTGATTGGTTGAGATAGAGGGAATTTTTCATTAAATTTGGTAATTCCCCATACAAAATTACGTAAAACTGATTAGTTCTTAGGTTGCCTAAGTTGTTTTTGACCTTTTTTAAGATAAAATTTTCCATTTATGTTATAAAAAAGTAATAGCAAGTTTTGTTGTAAAGTTAAAGATTGAAATCACTTTTGTTTTAAAGAAGTTGCAGAAATTGCTCTTGTCACTTGCTGCATGACTCAAGAATTTTCTGCAATTTCTGAAAACATGTGTGATTTTAATCCTCAATTTAACTTAGCCCATGGGATTACCTCTACACATTACCAGTAGGGATATTATGTGACCTAACTCCAAATTTTTGAGATGAAATTAAATAAAATGTAGGGCAGAGGGTGGCGAGTGATATCTAGATCTTACCAATGAAGCGTCATATTTAATATGTGTATGGATGTTTATTTCACAGCTTTATCAGGTGTCACCTCAACAAATTGATGTAATAGACCATCACTACAGGGTGTTTGAGAGACTGCAAAGGGCAAAAGCAGAAACAGATGAGGTTTGTCACTAAAACACTTTCTTGTAGTGATACCTAATTGCAACAAGGTTTAAGGAACTTCATCAAACAAAAAACTGAAAAAGAAAGTAGCATGACGTGAATTAACGAGCTTGTAATTACCTTCCCGTAGACATCTCTTTTCCACATTTTTTTTAACCCTTTAACCCTTAAGAGTGATTAGTGTATAATTTCTCCTTACAGCATCACCCCTGAATCAAACATTCAGGTCATGAGAATAAAGGAAATGATCACCAACCAAAGAACCTCTTGATTGTAAAATAAATTCTCTCTGTCAGCATCTTTGTAACTGTATAGAAAGTAGTATGGAGAGTTTACACATTGATGTTGGGGTGTAAAAGGTTAAAGAGGATGAGGAAGATGACAGCTTCTGGTTTTGGCCATAAATGACACATGTGGCCATTCATTTTACCGGAGGCATGAGGCAAAAACTGGCTGAGTCGTGCAAAATCAAACCCTAGACTTTCTGACTTTGTGATCCAGTGTTTTATTACTGAGCTACAGAGAATTCTGTTGTGGATTATGGCAGTAGTATGTTCATATTTTATAAGCATCCTGCTCACTGCTATGGTCAGAAATGTTGAAAGCCCCTTGCAAAATGGAGCAGGAAAGAAAGTAAAGAACATTTTAACCCTTTTATTCCTAAGAGGAACTGGCTTCTTATTTATCTTGGCGGTATCACTGCTGAGTCAAGCACAAAAGTCATGAGAATTAAGGAAATGATCATCAACTCAAGATGCTCTCGATTGTTGGAAAAAATTCTCCTTTCGTATGATAGGAAATGTATAGAGATTAGTATGGAGAATATGAACACTGATGCCAGGGTATAAGGGGTTAAGTTAAGTTAGTAGTTCCCTTAAAAAGCCATTCATGTCTATGAGTTTCACCTTGCATTCAACAGCCACTGTTGTCCATTTTTTAGATTGGAAAGTCAGCGGCGGCCACCTCAGATGCTCTTGCATCGATGCATCAGCAGTGGGACAGTGAAATGATGAAAGTGGCCAATGGTGCAGTGGATCCTGTTGCTGGATTAGGCAGCTGTCAATCAATCAAGAACAGCAGTGAAGACTTAGAGATGTATTATATGACGGTACGACCTCATTGGAACCTTTCAATTACTCCCAGAAGCAACTAACATGTAATTTCTCCCTTAAATACCCAAACATTATCAAACAAACAGGTAATGAGAATACTCAGACTTATCAGGTGGTGGTTATCTGCTTGATCTAACACCAAATTCTTGTAACTAATTTACAAGGAAATGTGTTGCAGCTGGAAAGGAGAATTTACAATCATATCTTGGGGGTTCAGGGGTTAATCTGCTACTTTGTTGTTGGTGTTTTTACTTTCTCCACAGTCGGGATCGATTGTATTATTGTTGTAAAATATTCAGGTTTCACGTCACGTCAGTGCTCAGAATTTTTGCACCCTTCTTTTCTGATATTATGCAGCGCACTTAAAAGATGTTTCCTTATGTTGCTTTCTGATATTTTTTCTCTTCCAGAAAATGCGGGAGCTTATTCTTATTAGTAGTGTACAAGTCCGTGTGGAGGCTGAAAATGATATGCTGACTAAAACACTCGGTTAGTAGTAATCAGTACTTCTTACTTTTTTAATTTTTTTTATTGTTAAGTGACTTACAATCATTTACTAACTTTGTTTACTCTTCGTAGGTGAAGTAACACCAGACATTGTGGGAGCCAGGTATTTTAAAATGATGTTAAAAATGAATTTCCACACTTCTTGCCCAACATCTCTACATGTAGTATTCCCCTGTCTAAGCTGTGGCCGTTTTGATCTCCTTGGTCAGAAGGAATAAAATTGGGGACGAACTTTGCACCGAAAGGAGCCATTTTGGCGACCTTTCTCGTGTAGTAAGCTGTCATGTCCTTGTGTTTTTGTAACGCAATTTTCAATTGGGTGTCCAAAATCAAGGCGACTAAACAGAACCAAGGTTTACATAGTCATAGCGGAAAAATGCGAATGACCAAGTCACGATTCTTTTAAGTTTGGCTTTTGATTGGTTGAGAGGATGACACGATTCTTCTAGACCAATCACAGAGCAAAGTTAGAGAAAACCAAAGCAACCCCGAGTTTCTTTCGACACTTTTTTTTGTTTTGTTTTGTATTTCTTCCCTTGCCTTAACTTTGATTTCTGGTGACTTTTTTTTAGAATTTTTAGGACGTCAAATGGGGGTTTGAAGCTGGGGTATGACTTAAGGGATGTGTGGGGCTTGCACAAAGTGTCTAAACATGTATTAGAGAAAAGTCTGATTTTTTGTCTTGGAAAATGTACCCTAAATTTCTACCACGAGCATTTGCAATCGTGGTTTTTGGTACAGTACTTGATTTTGTCTGCCCCATATCTCGCCTCCATGACACCTGCTGCTCCATAAGTCTTTCTTTTCTTATCACATATTTCACATTTATAATGTGTTGATATTATAAAAATGATATGAATTTTCATTTCATCAATTTTTTTAAGGCTCAAGAGACCAGCGCTAGATATGTCTTCTAAAGAAGCTTCAGCGATTCTAGACTCTGTGCACAAGAAGGCCAAAGTGTTTGGATGTAATCTAGAAAATTATGTTAAAGTAAGTACATGCACCAAGTCATATCATGCAGTTCTTAACGACTGATTGCGGAAAAATAACCGCACTTGTAATTGTTTCAAATTTTTTGGAAAGTTTGTGTGGCATTTCCTCAGGTAGATATCGGGGATTGACTCTTTAGACCCTAAGGGCCGATTATTTCAACCAAACCGCATTCTAAGCCATCTTCAATTCAGCCGAACTTCTATCCAAACAATTAAATTTGTTAGCAGTGTTCAGAGGGCCGAAAGCTGATAGTGAAAGGACATTTTTGTAATTAAATCAGCCCTCTTATAGAGAATCCCTGAGGTGTACTGCTAGCGTAAAACCGCGGTTTGGGTTAGATCTCGTGTAAAAACCGGCTCTTAATGACTTGCTTCTAATGTTTTCTTACAATATCATCCCTAAATCTAACATTAAGGTCACGAGAACAAAAGAAGTGATCGCCATCTTAAGAAGCTCTTGTTAGCCGGTTAAATTGATTGTTTCAAGTTTGCTTTATTTCTCAGGTTACAGGAAGAGAAATTCCAGAGGTTGTAGAAAGTTGTGTCAAGTTTATTAAAAAGTTTGGTGAGTACTTGAAATTCGGCCTTCCTGGTTAGTTAATTAGGTTTTATTAACTGAGTTGATAATGTGAATTGGCCACCGTTGAGAGAATCTCTTGGGAGTTTAAGAAACGACGGCGACGGCGACGGCGACGGCGACGGCGACGGCCCCTTGGACAACGTCGGTTAAGAAATGAACTTATATTTTACCAACGAATCTTGAGATACTCTAAAGTCATTTAGTTTGTTTCTCACTGTCAAAACTATCTCGAAACTGAATATGGAACACAGGTTTGTCATTTCACGTTGTTGTTTTGCAGAGGACGCAAAGAAATTTACAAAGATTTATAACGCACGTGCACAGCTATTGTTCTTCTCATTAAACGTTTTGTTTAGTGACGTTGTCGTTGCCGTCGTGGTTTTCTTAAAGTCCCTTTTAGCTGACGTCTTGAGCGGTAACCCTTCGTCAGAGAGAATGACGATTCTGGGGCCTCGAAGGATTTAAAAAATCCCTTATTTTAGTTTATGTCTGCTGCCCTGGGAAGTATGCTGTCATAACATAACAGTTTTTATTTATTTTATTGTGTTCTTAGGGCTGGACCATCAAGGAATATTTCGGTTATCGGGATCCACAACGGAAATAAACGACATGAAACAACTTTTTGAAAATGGTAACTGCCTTGAAAGTTAGGGAACGTTTTGTTTCTCTGTACATTTATCGCGTTGCGGCTGAAATTCGCGGTTTTTTTTTTTTTGGTAGGTCGTGATCCGTTAGCAGGTCTAAATCATTGGAAAGATATCAACGCCGTGGCTGGTTTACTCCGGGTTTATTTCAGGGAACTGGAAGATCCTCTGTTTCCTAGTTCACATTATCAAGAATTCATTAAGGCTAGCTGTAAGTATCTCGTTATATTGTTAAATGAGGGTAGTTCCTCTTTTCTAACGAAGACTGAGGCCCTCCTGGCTTATAACCGAGGATAGTGGATGAGAGGGAAAGAGTAGATGCCATGGCTGAGGAAAGCAAGCGGTTTTAAAAATTGGAAAATTGTTGAGGTCTTATCAAAAGAGGGATCTTGTACAGCAACTGGTATTGACTTTTGCAATTCAGCGTGAAGAACGGGAAATTTCACAACTTTTTCAAGAGCGGAAAATATGAAGCCCCTGCACATAGCAAGAAAAAATAGCGAGCTAAACCTTTGAAAGGGCGCGAATTACGCAATCTACGTCAAGGGGAAATTTTACGTTCAATGCCAAATGCGGAATAATGTATAACTTGTACCCAGGGTGAAAAATTGTCCTACCTGCGTTAAGAGTGAGAAATATGAAACCGCTGCGAACACTGGGTAATTATGCGATCAGTGCCCAAGGCGGGAGGGCCTGCAACCGGTGCGGAGGACAGCAACTAGTTTTAGGCCCAGGCAAAGGGCGGGAAAACATGCAAGGTTACCTGCGGTGATTGTGCTCAGCCCACCCAGGTTTACCATCTCGGGGGTTCTTTTATTGTGAAAATATATGTCTGACAAAAAAAAAAATTACTTAATTTTGTACTTTAAAGTTGTGTTGGATCTTTGATTATGGTGCACTATCCTCTCTTTGTCTGTAGTGTCAGCGTCAGTAGAAGATGGTATCAAAGAAATAATGACTGCACTCAGTTCGCTTCCTGAATCAGTGGTTCGAGTGATGGAGTATCTGTTTTCTTTCCTTAGCTTGTAAGTATTATAAGTCAAAATTTTTTAAAAGCTCTGTTAGTTGATGGTTTTCATCAGATCGAAGATGTTACAATGTTATTTAGCCGGCAGAGAGAATGCTACTCTCCTGAAAACCGAACTTCCCTATTAAACAACGTGTCCCAAATTATTATAACTTTAGCCCATTCCAGATTGAAACTTAGTTCGCCACTGACGCAAAGTGAATGTTGCCTCTAAATCTCCTCGAAATACACAATCTTTCAAGGAATTACGGTCGTTTCGCTTACGTCTAGAGTCGATTCGCCTACGTCCAATATGTCAGTTCGCCTACGTCTTAAACCCCGTACTATGACAATTATTGTATAAAACAATTGATTCAATTGAAACAAAAATTGATGATGTTCGAAAACTATCGCATGAAAATTTGATATCACAACTAATGAACTCTAATGATTACCATGTTAATTGGGTTCATCTCACCACGCTTTAACATGAGAGACAAATTGATTTGACCCTTTTTGCAACATTGGATAAATGCTATGATATATATCAATGTTGCAATTGTACCCTAATATTTAAATTACTGTAATTATCATGCTTTCCACGCTTTTGCACTGCTGTAGTGTTATTCATGCATATGAATCGTAGGCGAACCGACTCTGGACGAAGGCGAAACGACCCGTAGGCGAAACGACCTGAATAGCTTTCAGTCAGTATAGCTTTTCAGACAGTCGGTCTCTGTCGACAACAGCAATTGTTCTTTTTAGAACTTTCTTGAAGACTACAACACAGCAATTTCAGATAAAATAACATCATAATTACATAACCTAATAGAATGTTCCAGGCAGTTCCATGGTATGACATCAGAAAGTTCGAGTATCCACATTGCCGTGACAAGGCATTCTAGAAGTTTTCAAAAAACTGCTACTCTATAGCCACTTCCCATAACAAAGAATACGTTTGCAAAATTGAACCCCCAAAATTTAATGTTCTACGGTATGATGTCTCTCGGCAGAGTTGCACAGCACAGTGAATCTAACAAGATGGACGCCCACAATCTGGCGGTAGTGTTCGGCCCGACATTGTTACGTATCCCGTCCGAACAAGACATGATAGCTTATCAAAGTCAAGTGAATGGAATGATAGAATTACTTATTAAACATTGTGACGAGATATTCCCTGGCTCTGGAGAATCGCTACCAGCGCCATTATCTGAGACAGAAGAGAGTGAGAGCGAGGAAGGTAAGTGTTCAGAATGGAACGATTTTTAATGCCCTCTCAGAAGGAAGAGAGAGAGAATGAGGAGTGCGTCAAGTATTTAAAGCATTTAAAACATTGCTTTTAAAAGAGATCTTTTTAGATTAAATAGAATGTTGAAACATTCTTAGAGTCAACACGTCCATTTTAGCTAAAAATTGCAACCATCTATCTTACTTCCGGTTCTTTTGAACCTCACTTGCACATAACGAACTCTGCAACTCGCCTACACGTTAATATAAAACGCGATTTAACAGCGAGCTGAGCGCTCGCATTACTCGTGCGTTTCAGGCCAGTTCGTCGTCTTTTTTTATTCTTACAGTCATGGTTACTTTTTTTTTCTTTTTTTTCCTGCAGATCTGGAGCCAAGGGAAGCCGAAGCGATATATGATTACTCAGCTCGATCCTCCAAGGAATTGTCCTTTAAAAAAGGCGACATTATTCAGGTGTTCAAAAGATTTAACCCGGAATGGTGGGACGGGACAATCAATGGAACTGAAGGCTTTGTGCCAGCCAGGTACATTCGTATGCTGACAGACGACGATGTCGATGCAAATGATGGCGAAGGGAATATCTCGATCTCCGGCGAGCTGTCGCCATCACCCAAGATTTCATCCAGTGGAATAGACAGGCCTAGGGATCTGCCTCCAAGGATCCCCAAGAGAGAGGGCTCGCTACGAGGAAGGGACAGTTTACCCTCTCCCACAGCGGATCATGCAAGCCACGCAGCAGCAAGTCCCATCGGAGCAAGTCCGATAGGAGTGAACTCTCAGGGGCCATCTCCAGGATCATCGTCGTTTAAGAAGACCTCCGTGCCAGCAATCTCATCGGAAGATATCGTAAAGCGGCAGCTGACGCGGCTTCGTAAGGCGCCCAGAGAAGAGAGCGACAACTCTGTGGATAAGACACCTGATAAGGAACAGGGATTCGTGATACCAAGGCTTCGGAGCATCTCGCCTACCAGAAAATCCCAGTCACCTAGCCAGGAGAAGGCGGAAGAAGCCGAAAAGAAGGAAGAACCAACGGATAAAGACTGGAGAGGGGGAGGTGAAGCTTCCAAAGAGGAAAACCGGAAGTCCGTAGAAGGTGTGTGGCAGCCACGAGAGGAAGTTAGCATTCCAGCGAATAACACTCCCCAGGGCATTTCTCCGACAACAACGGCACCGGCACCGGCACCGAAAATTCCCCCAGCGGTTCGCCCTAAACCCAAGGGAAACCGCAACCCTCAGCCCCCTTTCCGTAAAAACTCCGATGATCTGTTAGCTTCGCTGCAGGCTGCTCAAGTCGTGCGGAGTCATCGGACTAGTGGCGGTCCTGACGACAACAGGAAGAGCGGAGGGTCTGTGGGGGACGACACTGCTTTTTGAGGGTCTCTCTAAGGGGGGGGGGGGGTTAAGGGAAGCAAGGGAGGGTGGTTGGAAAAGGTCTGGTGGGAGGAAGAATCTTTTCTTGAAAACATTATGATCCTATGGAAACAAAGCGTATTATCTGCATGCACCGCAATGGGGAAGTTTTGGTAGAAATGCCAATTTTTCGAGATTGTTAGACTAAGATTGATCAAAACGTGTTATCAATCGGGAAGAGGTTGGTGAGCTGTGGGGTCAAATTTATTCGTGAGGGTGGGAAAGGATTGCACTAGAAGGGCTGGGGTGGGGTGGGTTAGGTTAGGTTTGTTTCGAGGGAATTCTTTTATAAAATCTTGCCAATCAGTTTGTTAAGAGTCGGGAAGGACTTTGAATCCAAGAAAAATACTTTTCCAAAAAAATAAGAACCAAAAGTTGAATTGTAATGGTGATGTAAATATGTATTTTTAGGAGACAAAGAAGTCGTCGCTAACACAGAAATGATAATGATAATTGTTTAAAGTATTGATTTGATACGTGAACTTTTATCTTATTTATGATTTTGTTTTTGTTTCTTTTTAATGCGCAAGTGAACAAAAACTTGTCATTCCTCGTTCCCATTGATTACAGTAATTGTAGGAATAGGAATCCAGCTGAAAAGTGGGTCTTTGGTTTTTATCGGGACGAAATCATTTTAAGCCCCCAGATTCTTCTTTTGTAAAGTTCGTCTGATCGGTTTCTTTGTTCAATGTTTGGTGCAGAATGTAGCGCTTGTTAAATGATCTCTCTTTATCCTACTTGTAAGGGTTAGTTTGTCGCGCGCTTGATTTTATCTTTGAAAATGTCAAAGTTTTGAGTATTGAGCTTGACATCATTGAGTAATTTCAATTGAGTGTTGAAAGTTTTGCGGGATTGCCTTTGTTTTTGCTTTGCTTCGGTTTGTGATTGGTCTAGAAAAATCGCGCCAAGCTCTTAACCGATCAGATGCCAAACGAAAGCCAACATCACTTGGTCACCCACGTTTTCCCGCGCTTTTGGAAGTGTGCTTGTTTTAATTTTGAATCTTAATTGGCTAATGATGACGCAAACCTTTGTTTTGATTGGCGGTTGTGATTATCTTGGTCTTGGCTTTAAGACAGTCAATTGAAAACTACTCTATTACTCGATAATTATCTGAATTATCAGCAACAAGAATAATTCACACTTTTTCGTTAAAAACTCACTGCATGCTTATTAATGCTTAATCTGTTTTCGATTCACCCAAAGGGTCACTAGGTTTCAGCCAACAACCATCTTCCTTAGAATAGAAACTGTTTTCTTTTTTTTTTTT